TTCCATTGTCAAATTGATTGCTTTTTGAGAGTTGACAAGTGTTCTTAACAAGAGTTGACCAGTTTCTACCAAATTTGACTGGTATCGCTTCATGGCTTCACAGGTATCACAAGTCTCTGCTTGATGGCTGGACACGACATAATAACTAGCGGAAGTGCAAATGTACACCCCTCCCCAAGCAGAGCTGCGCCAGGAATTATTTTGCACCATTCAATCTTTACGGCCCGGCTCCTCCTTTTCTAGACAGGATTTTTAGAGAAATTCCTTATTTTCATAGAGAAGTTCGGCCAAAAAAGCCCTAGTGTCAGCTCACAAAGCTGATCACGAATATCGCAACAGTTTGTCATAAACTTGGTAAAAAGGGAACCTGTAAGTTGCGTTTTATGGTTAGCTGACGTAACTCGTGTTCGAACTACCACACTCTAGTCATATCCACTCCCGTGGGAAGATTTCGAAAAATCCGGTCAAAGAGTAGCTTTGAAGAGTAGGGTCGTAAAGGATGAATAGTGCTCTTGCTGCAAGACAATCGAGACCGTTAAAGACATCGTTTGAGATTGTCGGATGGGCGGAGCTAAGGAACGACATTATTGGCTTGACTGTCTCCTTCCCACCTTGTTCATCATCACTGAAATGGTGGGGATGAAGAGGGCTGTGCTAGTGGTGCCGTTCCTTGGCTCCACCTGCTTTGCAGACAGCAAATGGTGTGTTCAACTCATCTAAAATGATCGTGGGCAGGTAGCAATCTGTAGTAGTGGAACAGGATCGTTCGGTGGGCATCGGATGTTGAACTGAACGATGCCTTCCTCGTCCTGAAATAATACCTGTTAGAAGTGCGGAGCGATTTTGTTGATTTTTTTTTGCTATTTTTATTTCGTTACGGTATTTTTCAAAGACAAAGAGCACGATAACTCCACAAGGCGTATAACACGGATACACCGAACAATCAAGAGCTCTGAGCAAGTCCTTACATGGCGTCACCAACAAAGAGCGGTCTCTTAGGGACTGTTCACAATCTGCGACCCAGCGTTTCTCTAGAAAGAAACGAAAAGCTTTTGATACGTATCGATTGGCGGTTGGGCGAAGAGTCGGAGATCGCGCGAAACGGTTTTAATACGTATCGCCGGCGGTTCGGCAGAATGGTTGGGCGAAAAACGCTAGCCCGACCGCCCTGGCGTTTTTCTCTAGGGCGGAGCCAGCGAAATCGATACGCATCTATTGCTTTTCGCCGAGCCGCCGAACGCGGCGGCGTTTCTCCAGAGCGGTTGGCGATTCTCCAATCAATACGTATTATTTGGCCGAATCGTTGCTTTTCGCCGACTCGCTGTTTTGCCAGGGTCGCAAACTGTGAACTACGCCTAAGCGGCTCAGCAAGGGTTTACATGCTCACCCATACTCCCACCAACACCAACACGCTCACAAATGGCGCAACGGTCAACAGGTGATACGATGAGATCAGCTGTTTTCAACTCCACAAACTGAGGATAATGAACGGGGAATGAGTATAGTGTAGTTCATTGCGGACGGTTGGGCGTGTTCGTGCGGCTGCGTTTGGCGCGGTGCCAAACTCGTTCTCCACGAGTTGTTCAAGCGAGCAAATGACAATACTGTATCATACCTTTCGTATTACTTGTTTTCTACTGCTTTTTGTCGCATGCCCGTTTCAACAAGAAGGCAGAGAACAGCTCAAAGAGGGTGACACACTCATACTGGCTGACACGCCCAACCGTCCGCAGCGAAGTAGAGTGTAATTACAAGACGATAATTGCTAAACTTACGGCTTCATCTAACGTCCAAATACCATGGTGGCGGTTACATATGAACGGGATCACAGTCGATAAAACACCTGTGGACACTGTGGTATTCCTGCAGATGCCAACCATCACGAAGTCTTCCTAAATGTCCACAAAGTCGAATAGAGTCCGTAATTATAGCGCGTCTAATAGTAAGCAGTATGGATTCCAGTAAGAACGCGGTAGGGGTGTAGATTATTACATTGCTGTCAAAGTCGCCGCGGGCCACGACCCCTAGACAGTTCGCGTCGCGACATTGGCATCAGGGCACGACCTGCCCATGGGGGGGGGGGGACTTTTCGGAAAATGCGACACCCTCTCCCCCGCCCCCCGTCCTCTACCCGAATCCCCTCCTTTGACACGACCTCTTCTTCCCAAAATTGTCCACATCTTGCCCCAAAGTTTCGCCATCGAGTGGGGGGGAAGGCGATACGATTACCCCTCCCCCTACCTCTTAGAATTCTCCTGACGATGTGAATAGCCTCCGTGAAACAAAAATAGCTATCAAATTTTTTTTCTAAACAAAGTACAACGCCCACCCCGCAGGATCATGTACGACCCCCCCCCTGCTGGGGATTCCTCAACGACGTGCCCTGATTGGTATTCAGTCTAGTTGATATCGTCGCAGCCCGATAGGGCCGGTCAGGAGAAGTGGTAAGATCCCATCCACGGAGTTTTACACCAATTGGATGTTTTCTGAATGAAACGGCTGCTACTGGTAGAAAACGTAGTGGTATGTACGCTCATTCCACGCCTACTGACACCTGCCCGACTCACTGCGTCGAAACCCAGTGTGAGCAGCACCTCGCTCTCTTCATCAGCTCCGACATCCAAAGGGGGAAGAAAAAACACCAGGAAATTCGAGCAACTTACAAGGTTACGTGAAGAGGAAAGCAATGAGAAATGAACTCTCTGCCGTAGAGCAAAAATTCTTACCTTCAGATGGACTCGAACAATTCTGTAGAGATTCCGTTCGACGCATTCTGATCGGCATTCTGAATTGGTGTCTTTGAGTCAATTGCAGGCGGAATATACGACAGCTTGGTTTACCTCCAACGACGCCACCTCTTACTCCAGTGATTCCAAGCGCAAGTAAAACAAGGTAACCAATCATCTCCAACAACAAGGCGACAACTAGAAGAGGGAACACGTGATAAAATCATTTGACTCGAAAATCTAATTATTATGAGGGCAATCACGAGACTCCTGTGGGTTTTCCTTGGGCTGAGAAAACCGGAATGAGGTAACATTGCCGAGTAATGAGAATCAGAAAAAAATGGTAGATGTAATTGAAAGAGTAAGAAGTGTTTATGCAGTTGGGATGCAAAATTCTCTTTACAGGCAGCAGTTAACTAATGTTATTTACACTAATAATTTCAAACTCTGCACGGCACCGTCAACGAGAAGTTCCATGAAATCTACGTAAGACAGGAAGAAAGGGAAATTAGAAATTAGATCAATCAAGGCAGAAAACAAAACGAATGCGAAAACCAACCAACTTGTTTTTCATTCGAGGCGGGAACTCGTTCACTATTAGGGCTGAATGCGTCAATTCACTTCATTTAGTTCATGGCCCGTGACTAGTCCATCGTTGTAATCGTATGAGTTTCGATAATTGATAACCTGTTGGTCAGAGAGGTGAAAGTGAAAACTTTCGGACTGTAAAGTCACTCAAACTTCGTCATAGGTGCTCACAAGTCACGAGGTACTGTCCCGCTCAATGGACAGGACGTATGACGGGGTGTGGTGGATTCAACGCTGCTGAGGCGGTCTTTCCCACCAATGATGCCGCGCCAATTCGAGGAAGGACCTGGCTACGTCCCAATTCACTCTCACACGCCCTCTCGTTTGCAGGAATGACTGCAGATTAGTTTTTGTAACTGATCCCCTTGGAGCCGAACCAAACCAGCCGTTGAAAACCAGTCATAGGGATAGAAGGGTAAAACTCCTGCCATTAATCTACACCGTTAGATGCTGCTCGCGGTCTGTTTCCATTTCAAATCGTAGGGGCCTTTCCGAACATACATGGCAGATAAACTGAAGTGCGCGGCTAACTGACATCGAGTTCGATCCTTTCATCCTCCCACTCGGGTTCCGCAGCGGCTCACTGGCCTCGGAGGAACGGATGGAAGGTTGGCTTCTGGAACTCGGTCAGGGACCTAAGCTGTGGGTACGCGGGGAAGCTGCGGAACTTGTCACTACACCACCTCTGTTCGGTTGAAAACTGCTACAGGATAGGCTGAAACATATTATCCAGCCTCCTGATCACGGCAATGGCAACTTCCACATCCGGAGTGTTAAAGTTAGAACCTACAATCGCTATAAACTCTCGTCTAAGATATTCGTAGAGATTTAGGATTCTCATGGAGACAGGTATAGTGGACTGCAACGAAAAATCCTCTATAAGTTGCACGTCTAAATGGTAAGGCAGGCGGTAAAGCACAAGGTTTCTCAAGTAACTCCGCCCTCATTGATGGATGCCTTGCCTGCTGACTTGCTCGTTTGCATGCCCTCTCGATGTTTTCTCTGGCCTCTCACCCGACATCCACACCACTTCTTTGTCTCTCGCTTAGCACAAGTATTTGGTAAGTTTCCTACAGTCCTCTAATTTCTTTCTTTATGTGCAAATCAAGAAGAACTCCCGTTTCTAACCACGTTACCTACGATAAGCTCGTTGAGCTCATCATGAGTCTGCCTTCTGCTTTGGTCTAAAAAATGTCATAGTAACCGGTGCGAAGTGACCCTGAAGATGGTTTTAGCAGAAAAAAAAAACTTCGAGATCCATGTGTTTTTTATAGTAATGGGCGGAGGTGATGTAGTGGCAAGTAGCACGGGGACAGGAAGCAAATCCTGGAATGTCTCCCTCCCAGACCAACCAAGCCTTTTATCCTTTAGAAGGGGTAAGTTGGTACCAGATACGTCTGGGAGGATACAAACACTTGTACATCTGGCTGGCCCCGCAACTCAATGTAAGGGCCGCATCGCATTCAGTAAGCCACTGCGATTCTGAATGAAAGTAAAATGCGGGCCCGAAGGGTTCGATCAGCGGCGAAGACTTTATCCTTTTATCCTTTATTAATGGGAGAACGGTGCTGGTCACTTACAAACTTCTCGGTCCCTCCTATTAGATCATCCACGGCACAATTAAACGAATTTAGCCAAGAGATGTCACACTGCCATCACGCTATCATCATTTAGTTGGTGACCTCTCAAAAGTGACGTATGAAAGGCGGTGAACCCTGACCATATTCGTTGAAAAGCGGAATCTATGATCGGTCCGGGACGAAACGAATATAGAAACATGATGGTTTGTGATACCCCAGGCTTCGAAAATCTTTGACAATGTAAACACCCAAGTGATGT